AAAACACATGCCAAACAGCTCCTACAAGTGACACTAAATTGTTCTTTTGTTTTTTTTTTTTTTAGAATAACAATTATGCCCTTAAATATTCCTTTTTGTATTTTCTTTCTTTTTTACCTCCAAACCCTATTTAAGGCAGACCGCCTTGGACCCTAAATTTTATCAAATTTTAAGGATCCCAAATAATTTTAATTTTTATGGTGTGAGCTGGTTTAAAAATAAAGAACTAAATCAACTACTTTTAACTCTACAATCAAAATAAAAGGGCCTTAAAGCATCCCCAATCCTTTATTATTATTTTTCATCTAATATAAAATACTCTAACCCTTTCATCAAGTTTTTATCAAAATCTTTTTAAAAATTCTTCTCTTACCTCAAATTTTTGTTTTAATTAAATTTGATGGAAAAAAATCATCTCTAATACTTTATCTTTTTAAATTTTTATTAAATTTAAATTTAATTAAAAAAAATGTTTCTTCCTTCATTTAATATACATTTGATGTAGTGGTATTAGTTATATATATATATTACAAGTACTTACTTACCATTATATCCACTATATATATTTTTATGATTATATATACGTTAATACTATATACTCTTACAAATTAATTTTAAAAATATATATTTATAAATTACATTCATTGAGGTATGACTTGCATTAAACTAATTTTGAATTTGCATTAAACAACTTCAAGTAAAATTTTGAATATATATATATATATATATTTATACATAACACAAGGGCTTCAATTTAAGATTTCACCTTGGACCTCGAATATTTCAAGACTGGCCCTCCCTCCCTCCTCTAAGTTTCTTACTTATATATATTATGTAGGATCCTTATGAGTTTTTTAGTGTTATGTACAAATGATTTCGGTTATATTATGAAGGATGAACCATAAGAAAAAATCTTAGTTACAAATCACTCTAATTATGTAATGAACTATCATGATTATGTTATGAATATTAAAATATTATGAACTATTGTTGTGAAAAAAATTATTAACTATTGTGATTTTGTTATGAATTATTATGGTATAGTTTTGAAATGTCATATGGTATATCATAATTTTGATTGTTCTCTTTTCTAAAAAATTATTTTCCTATTTCATTCATTTGTACGAGACATCATCAAAAATTTATGTATGTACTGTGATATATAATTCATTATCATTTACATTTACATTTTTTCTAGTACTGAATCATTGAAATTGAAATTTCTATAATAGATTTAGAATGTTATCATTATTTATTTGCTTAATTTTAATAGTGATTTGTTGATTTTAATCATTTAGGCTGAATTTAACCCAACTATTTAGATTTGTTTAATGCCTTACTTTCTGACCCCCCAATGCTATAATCCTAGCTCCACCCCAGCCTCTACAGCCACACAACACCAAGCATCGCCCACTCTCATTCGGATAATTATTCAGTAATTTCAAAATAAGTACACGTGATATTCTATAGTATTATGATTAGTGGAGAAGGTGGATAGATGGGGTATTGTGTTAAGTGATTGAGGAATATAAGTGGACATATTGAATGATGATTGGTTACAGAGTACAAACACGTGATACTCCATAAATATTTAATAATTTCCCCTCTCGTTTATACACATATAATACCAAAATTTTGTGATTCTTTTACAAATAGGATGTAGATTCTCTCTGGTCAGTGATCCCAATTAAAGGGTGCTATTGAGCTTTTGTAGGCCTATTATTAGGCTTACTTTGATAATCAGATTAATTCAAATTTTAGGACCATTTTAGAAATTATTTATATAAAAAAATCAAATTAATTAGATAATTATAATCACATTATTGGATCACATAGCCGATAAACATTATTTTAAAAGTAAATTGTATATTATTTTAAAGATAAATATGATTCAATTACGTGAATACAATTATATAATGAATTGGTGGTGGTTGTTTTAGGTTGGAGGTGGAGCGAAGAAAGAGAGAATAAATGAAGTAGAAGAAAAGAGAATTGAAAGAACTCATATGGTTATTTTTACTTTTTTAGCCTTCTATCTAATAGAAAGGTTTAATGTCATAAAGTGAATGAATGATAGGAAGAATATGAATTTGGACCCAACTTTATGATAAAATGTAATTTGACTAATATGCATGCATATGCCTATATATAAATATGAAATTAGATATAAAAAAATCCCAAATAAATGGTTTAAAAAGAAGACTTGTCTACAAGGAATACTTGCCCCAAGAATGTTCCAGGAACGTTTGCTTAAATATTTCTTTTACTACTTTTATTTTTTTTTAACTAATTTTTTTTAATTAAAAATAAAAAGGAACATCATCATGTCTAGTAGGAGTGCTCAAAATATCAAGAAAATCGAATAATCGAATTGATTTGGTTCCAGGTTTTTAAATTGTCAAATCTATAGGATTGGGTTGGTTCTTGGTTTAAACCTTGTCCAAACCGAACCAACCCGAAAGTTGAACTTATATATGTATATGTATATGTATATTTAATTTTTTTTTTTTTTATATTGACATGTCTTTATATTACCATGGTCTTGCATGTTAATTCAAATTCCTATTTCAATGAAGTTTGTGCAATTGAACAAATTTTGAATTATTGGTCCAAGAGTAATAGATTCTATTTCAAGTTAAATGATTTAGCTTTTTAACAAGGTAAATGATTTAGTGTGAAGAATAAAAAAAACTCATGAATCGTATGTATGTGCATTATGAAATTGTGGTTGTCTCCTTCTATGTCAAGGTCAATTGGTCTGCCACTCCCAGTGGGAGCGTCATCCCCAATATTTTCATGTTGTCCGTTAGTGGCCATCTATTCTTCCTTCGTTCCCACAGACGGCGCCAAATTGTGTGGGTAAAAATCTGACCACACTGCCCATTTAGTGATCAGCAGCAAAGCACCGGCAAAATAGATGGCTCCAACAACCTGTAACAGAAAGGAAAAGCTCCAGCGGTAGTTCTTCCACCCGGGGGCACTCCGACGATCAAGTCAGTATGTTTCTCAAGGATAATCAAGTATCAAACTGAATACTCAAAGTATGAATTACATACCTTAGACCCACGGGGGTGCCTTTCTTTTATAATATACTTAATCCAAGTCCAACTAGAAATATGACTTCTATGTACCCCAATCCTAGTGCTTACTCTGGACTCTTTAGGAGATAGAGATAAACTCCCTAAGAGGTTTATCCTTATCTTAATTAAGTCTCCTCTTTGCTTCAGGACTCTTGTCCCTTATCTTCGGATTCCGACATCTTCGGAGATGACCTCGGCTTATCCGAGATTACCTCGGCTTAACTACCAGGGCACGTGGCACCTCGGCTGACACGTCGGCGTCACCATGCCACGTGTTGGTATTCAGAAAATATGTCCCCACAGTATGTATGTGCATTATGAAATGCTAAACTCTGCTTTAAGTTATTCTTTAAATAGGATGTGTTACAGTTCAAATGAAATGGAAGTTAATAAGCCCAGTGATAGCGGTTGTAGTGAATATGTAAAATCTCTTCAATCTGAATTTTTAAAGCACTTGGAAGAAGAAGAAAATGTTAATGCAAAATTAGATGTAGACAAATCATAGGACTATGCTGATTCAATTATTTTTAATATAATGGAATCATGGTTTCAAATTGAAACAACCTGAGCTACATTAGGTTGCTTCTAGTGCATGATTGGTTTGGTTCTAGGTCTAAAAATTTGGAACTGATCATGATTGGGTTGGTTCCAAAATTAATACCAAACCAAACCAAACCAAACTGACCCACGAACACCCCTAATATCTAGTTGGGTATTTCAATTGGATGGTCTAGTTTAGCTCCATCACCCTCACCACAGTCTCTACCTCGATAATTTGAACAATTAATTTTGTAAATCCATCCAAGAAGATTACTTGTACAAAAAATTAAATTAATTGGACAATTGTAGCAATGTGATTAGTTTAGATTTGTCTTGAAAAAAACAGACAAATTTGACGTGATCAAGTAATTATTAATATCAAATCAACTTAATATTTGACATAAATAATTTGCTCAAAAGACTTTACAAAGTGAATAGTTCAAATTATCAAAATAAAATCCATAGAGCCAATTAGACCGTCCAATTGCTTTTCCAACGGGAGAAAAGCTTAACACAAGTCAAAAATTCACACCCCTAAAATGTATAAAAAATTAATATTAATAAAAAAAAATACTTGTAGAAAACTATAGGGTAAATTACACTAAAATCTCCAAAAGTTTGAAAGAAATATAAAAAATCTTACAAGTTTACATAATTATACTAACTTCTCTTTTAATAAGGATAAACAAAATCAGTGTAGGTGGGGTGTGAATACAAAGATAATGAGAAGTAAATTCTATATTTCAATGTACAAAATATAACATTATCTTTTATTAAAATAATGAACGGATGACTTATAATAAGATAACAAAGTGTCAATATAAATTTAAATCATAGGGTTTGTTTGGGAAGTGTGTTGATTTTTTGATTTTTTGGCTATTTTAGTTTAGGGTTAAAAAATTTCGTTTAGGAAGAACTTCTTAGTTTTTTTTTTTACTTTTTATGAGAAAAAAAAATGTAATAATTATAAATTGGATGTGATATTTTGTTTTATTAGGCTAAAAAACATATTTTGGCCTTTTATGGTTAAAATAGTTTCAAACCCAATCCAACCTTTCTTCCCAAACGAAGGCATAATAGAGCACAGTATAATTACGTCAAATCCACTCCCCTCAAAAAAAAAAAAAATCAGGATGAGACCACACCACACCATACCAAGGCAGCCACCTCTCTTGGTTACCTACTACCTAGACAGTAATTTCCTTGTGTTGTCTCATCTTATCATTCTCTTCATTTCTATTTTTTTAATATTTTGGAGGGAGGGAGGGACTAGTACATTACCTAACATTCAAACTTCAATTTCAGATTTGGCATCTAAAAGCCAAAACCTAATGTTCAAAACTGCCACAAAGGTGAATGAATTGAATAAATTTCCTATATATATATATGCTGTACTGTTTCAACTGTCAGTCCACCTCCTCCTGAATCAACAAAACCATGCCCAATTTCTCTCCCCCAAATTACAGTAGTTGCACAATTTCTTCTCTCTTCCTCTCTCCGCCCAAGCAGCAATTTCGACATCAGATAGATGAAGTTCACGTTGCCGGTATGCAATGTTCCTTTCTATTTGCTTAATCTCATCTCTTTAATTTGAATATGTAATGGATTCTTAGCTGGATATGTAATTTGGATATGAGAACTCTTATGTTTGTCTTCATAATCTTTGATTGGGCTTCTTATTTTGCCGATTATGTATGTTCATTACTTTGGTTCTTTAAATAGCTAAAAAATCTCTAAAATAACCATTTCCCAAACACCCACTTCGATTCTTGCTTGAGTTATCAATGTCCAGTTACTTCTTTCACTTCAAGTTTCTCCTTTCGTAGTCGTATCTAAACCTGAACCTGATAATAGGCTTTGGCAATGTTAAATAAAAGGCTCGAACTTGCTTAGGTTAATTAAAAACTTAAAAAACATACACCTATTGAACACAATACATCAATGAAGATTGTAAAAGAATTCTCTCCATTTCATTTCATAGTGTGGAAATTAAACCAAGTGTCGAAGTGTCAAAATTAATATGAAGTTCCAACAAAAGAAACCACGGATCCAAAACATGCAACACAGAAATCATCAGTATACTGCAAGTCACAAGCACTCCTATGATGTGCAAAGAAAATAAAAAAACACCCAAAAAACGAATAAAAAAAGTCAGAAGAACATATTTAGCAATTATTTTTACAAATCTAGAATCTGATAGTGAGAGAACAAACTGACATAGTAGAATATCCTTGAGATTAGCCATGACCTGATACACGGAACAATCAATTTTCTCAGCTTCTTCCCTTTTGTGGGATCTCCAACATCTTTGAAGGGGAGGAGCTAAAAAGCTTACAAAACCAGCTCAATTCTACTATTTCCGGTCTAGAGGTTTGTTTGGATCGTGCATATCACCACTGAACCTGTCAGCGAATAGGGTGATATTGTGTGATCCCACGCTTTGGGGGAAGCTTCCTCAAAATGAAAAGGACCAGAGAAGAAGGCAGTATCTCCACCAACTGCATAATAATAAGGGATAAAATAGTAGATACGTTATTAAAAATTAATAATTATCAAAATAAGTAAATAAAACAAAACAATTTATATGAAAGCAAGATTTTAATCCAAAAAGCAAAGCAGAAAGAAAGTATGATAATCAAATGACAAAAAAGGATTCGTAACACCATCAGCAATTGGTGTCACTCAAACCACAAAGATGAATGAAAAACTACCATAAAATAAGACAAAGGCATACCTTGTATTTTACATTTTTGTTTGAAAACAATTAAATACCATGCAATCTGAAAGAGAGAAATACCTCTAAAATCTCAATCTACCTTTTAATTTCCTTTTTCTGAACATTTTATTATTAGACAAAAAGGTCTGCATAAAATGCAATGGGTGTTCTAAAAAAACACAACCAAATGCTTTCAACCAAATAACACTCATGTCATTAGTGACGTCAACACACTTACCAGTACCCCTAGTTAAGAGCAACATTATACATATGACTTCACTCACATTAGATTTTAGTTCATTATATTTGTTTTTTTTATTTTAAATTCCTGAGGAATACTTCAGAAAATACATAAGAAAAAACTTTGGGATTGCTTTGGATCACTAAATTTACCATTTTTGAACGAAAGTGCACCATGTTTCAGAACATGTGTTCCAAAAAGTAATTCGCTAGGGTATTAACGTGCTTTGGTAACACTGAACCTCATTAATGTGTACCCCTAGGCTTTGATTATTCAGCCATATATTTCAAAGCATCATGTTTCAACCTAAAATGAAGCTTTTAGACAAGAAATTTGCGAGGCAAGCCAGCTGGTTAACATGTACACCTAGCCCTTTATTATCAACCCCGTATCTAACAGAGTTTGCTCCCTCCCTCCCTTAGGTAGTATGCACAGAGATAACAATTAAACCGTAAAAGAAAACTTACCAAATAATATATAAAGTTTAGGACAGGATGATTTAAAACATCCAGGTCTGCAGCTTTATCAAATGCATTAAAGCACATCTGTAGCATAACAACATAGTGACAAAACAGAAAGTTAGATATAACAATGATGAGACTTTTATCGCCACTAATTGGCCCATAGAGCAATTTGAAGGAAGAGTGATCACTCAGCAGTAACAAGAACCCCAATGATGATACTAATTATTAGCAACCAAAAAAATTGCGCACACGCACTGGCACAGTAGTTATACTTGCAATTTCATACAAGCTATTTGTGTACTTTGTTGGTTTATGTCAAGGAATAACAGCATAAGTCAACTCACCATAATGCATCTAACAAGGAAACATGAAAAACATATGGTGGTCACGTAGCCAACCTGCACAGTCAAAATACAGAAACTAATTAATATTAAAAAATATATAATAATAACAATAATAAGAGGACCAAGAAAATAAACATCAAAAAAATATACCTCCTGTAGCTTCTTACGTCGCCCTTTTGATTCTACAGGGAATCGCTGCAACATTAAGAAGAGCCTGCATGAAGATGACAACCGAAAGACATAAGGACTTTAGAGATTATGCAAAGTCAACCCTAGAACTGATCAAACCTGACCCCAACACATCACTTGGGTCAAGTTCTATTAATATGATCTGGTTCTTAGTTAAAAGTTGAAGACAAAATTGGCTCCATCCTAGGTTGTAAGTTACCAATCGACCCGAGAAGCTGCCCTTTATTTTATTATTAGCAGCATTTTTTACAGGCAAACTGTTGTGTCATGCTTATCTATTCATGAGAGCATACTGTAGATCCTTGCACACAATCACAACCAATTTTTTCGCTCACAGAATGCATGGCCGTGGATCACACTGTGTCTCCATTTCTCCAAACCATAGAAAACAACTCCTCATCCTACCCGCTTTCAGTCCAACACTACGTCTCATTTTTCTCTTAATGGATGTCAATGTTTCTCCTTAATCAATAACAACCATAAATTAAAACTACATGTATTTTTCCCTAATTTCTCCTGAGAGTTCCTCGAAATTCGATCTTAATCATTTTTAACACTATTTTTTGAATTTTAGATTCCTTAATGTTGTATCTTAAGTCATGATGCAAATGCACTGTAGAGAACTGTCTTTGTCAGACCAGTTTGGTTCATTTGCTTCAGTCCTACTCCCTAACTGTTTCAAACCTTCTTGTTTATTGGCAACCAATCTTGGTAGACAGCTCGTTTGGAAATTGCTTTTTTAGTGGCTTTTTGACTTTTTACGAAAAGACTTACAAAAAAAACAAAGAGAATGAGTTGACTTTTTGTATTGACTTTTTTAACAATCAGTCTAATTTGGTGGCAGGTATCATAAAAGTTATGCAAGTAGAGAATATAGTCGAATGTGCCAATTGATCAAAAAAAGGTATCTACTCCTAGTCACCAACTGCTTGAAACCTTTTTTTGTTTATTGACAACCAATCTTGGCATATAATTGGAACGCAGAATGATGTTATCAAACAAAATACAGTTGCAAGTAGAGTAAGGCAAAGCTTAAAATAATAGAATGTATAAAAGATAATTGATGCAGGTTGTGACAGAAATTATAGCGTGGATACTAGACACAAGTAGCTTGACCAAACAACAGTTGAGAGTAGGCCTTAGAGCCTTGCCAAATGAATGTCTCCTAAGAGCCCACAAATGTCAGAAACAGTAAGCAGCAGAACGGATCACCCGCAGCATTAACAAGACATGAAGAGCAACCCAAAAAACCAGGAAAGCCTATGGCCCCGCCAAACTACTGTTCAAGGAAGCAAAGGCACTAGAGTCTCAAAGAATGCACCAAAAATCAGCTATCAGAACTCCCCCGAAGTGGGCTTTATCAAAAGATTAAATTTTCAAAGACATCAGTCTTCTTGGTAGAAAATCAGAGCATCTTTGCCACCATCCCCCAAAAAACTTAGGCAACATATATAATGAAATGACCTACGGAAAACCTCCACTTAAAGAAGTGCCCAGTGAACCATGAGACAAAACATTAGAGCTATCACTAAGTGGGGGAAGGCACTTTATGTGAAATTCAGCTTTCCACATTGTTGTGGTCTCATAAAGGGTCCACAATACAGGGTAAGCAGTTAAAAATTTATTTTTGAGCCAGCCCTTGTGAAGGGTTACAGTCCAACGTCCAGGTAAATTTCTCACCTATTACACAGGCTTTCACTTGTTAAGACAAATTTATATTTATATAGGGTTCCAGAAATATCACACACACACACACACAGAGAGAAAGAGACAGAGCAATCTGATACTCTGCTGCTATGACTTTACGTGTTTGACTGAAAAAAAAAAAAAAACCATTATGAAAAGGTTACTGATAATGGTAAGCAATTTTAGTCTTTAAGATCAAGAGCAATGAGATACTTTGCTGCTGAAGACTTACGTGTTTGACCCAAACAAAAAAGAAAATGCCATTATGAAAAGGTTATAGATAATGGTTAGCAATTTTAGTCTTTAAAATCGAATGCTGCAGCCATACATGCATTGATGCTATTCAACAAGTCAGGCTTTACAGATTTTAGTGGATCACCAAATAGTGGAAAAATTACCTTCCTCCATAGAGAAGAAACCCTAGTGCTGCAAACAAAGAAACACCTGCAAGAAGACATGCTTCAGGAAAAAGCTGTTCAACTTATCATTAAACTAAGAGCTGAGAAATAAATAAAAAATTACTAGTATCTAAAACAGAGGAACCTGCAAAAAACATCTTGGATAGAATGATCAAAAGTCGGATCGGCTTCCACCATATGATCAGCCACAACACAATCTGAAAGCAATTCAATAGAAAAGAGTTGATGCCCATTTGGAAGTGCTCAAAACTTATGCACAATATATATATTTTATTTTATTTTGAATTGGTTATGCTCCAAGTGATTCTGCTCAAAATCAGTTTAATGCTCCAATGTGTTTCAAAGTGCTGCAGCTTTCAAAATTGATAGATACTCTGCCACGCTGTCGTACTGTAAAAGTGATTAATGGATATTGAAATGTTGAGATTATTTGTTTGTTTCCCAAACAAGGATTGTTCAGCCAAACGGGCCCTTCATCACAGTTGTGCAGCCATAATGCATTTTTCAATCAGGGCCTTGGCCACACAAATAATGCTAACTTATACAGATAGCATTGAAGATCTAGAAAGGTATACTTTATCTACCATACTATGTGCTATTGCCTACCGACATAGAAATTTTCAAAAAATAAGGAAGCGACAAAGCAGGTAGTCGACATGGCCTTTTCCATTACAAATATAATTCTATTTTATTCTATCAAAATAGTAAAGAAATATTTTCCAAATTCTATATTTTGTTAAAGAAACGTGAACAAAAGTCCTAATTATCTATTTTAGAAAGCTTTATTTGCAAACAAACCAGAAGTTTTAGGCTTAAGAGTTACTAAACTTAAAAAGCCTAAAGGAGTGATTAATAAGTATAAATTCACATTATTTTGATTTTAATCATTGGCTCACAAATTATTGTCTTTAAACTTACCATTTGTTTCCTATGTGCCTAAACGATGTATACATGTGAAATAATGGACACATTCAGATTGTTAGTGAGTGTCAATGTCTGACATGTGTCTGACATTAACACACAACCTTCTTAGAAGTGTTTGTGCTTCTTAGAGTACTATTGTTGCCACAATGTGCAGCAAAAAAACACAATTACTCCAAAAGCTAAAGTACGAAAGTAAAAACAAATTAGTTAAAAGCAAGAGCATCAAGAAAAGCATATTCAAAGAAAAGATATATTGATTATAATGTCAAGATACCCCAAGCAAAAAGAAAGAGCCATCAAGAACTATGTTACATGGACTCGGGTACAGTTTTTAGGTGCGGGTGCATACCTAATTGTTGGATATATCAAGCTCTAAATTTTAGGGTAAAAGAACTTAGCAAAAAATAATCCAAAAATTAGATATAGATAAGGGGATATGTTGTCTAATTGGAAAAAAATAATTTTATATATGTAAAAAAAAAAATTATTCATGACATATCATATTATACAATGATTTTAATATATTGGCAATTTAAAATATAGTACAATGATTTTAATATAATTTTAATATATTTGTAATGATTTTACTTCTAATTTTAATTTTTTGGAAAAAGAAAAGGGCAAACTTCACTCTACCCCTTGTGGTTTGGGACGAGTGCGGTGCGGATTACCCCCATAACATTCGAATATCACCACATAATCCCCCTGTGGTTAATGGATTAAAGTGCATTGTTAACACCGTCAACGACAGAAGTAAAAAGACTATTTTACCCTTATATATATAACCCTTCTTTACCATTCCTCATTCAACAGCAAAATCATCAATTTACAATTTACCCTCATCTTCATCATCAATTTACAATTTCATTAATATCCAGATCTGGAGAACTTCAATCATATACACAAATTCATATATATATATATATATATATTTGTGATCTTCAATTTTTTAAACATTTCCAAAAATTTATTTCAGTGCCAGACCCTAACTAAATCAAGAAAACAAAAATCTAGCAATAAAAATCACCAATCTCAATAAACCACAAAATTGAAGAACTAAACATACCCAGACAAGGAAACACAAAACCCCAGCAAAAACAAGCCAAAATTGAAGAACTAAAACAAATCCATATAAAGATTTGAGAACCAAACCAAGAAAACAAAAACCCAGAATATAATGTATATATATATAATATGTAGCTATATATATGTTGTGAATATGGTACAAGAATATAATCTGTAGCTATATATATATATATATAATCTTCTTTGATTTCTCTCCAAATTATAATCTATGGCTATAATCTTCGTTGATGATGATGCTCACCAAAAGCATCAATGAAGGAGAGGTATAGAAAAGTGTTTGGAATCTAATCTAAGCACAAACCCACCTAAAAACAAAAAACAAACTTCTTAGATCTGCATGTTTCTCTCTAGCTTCCAAGTTAGAGATTAAACTCTTCCTTATTTGGGACAACTGTTCTTCTTCATCATCGTCTTCTTCATTGTCTTCTTCTTCTTCTTCAACAACTGTTGAGGAGGAGGAGAAGGGACAAGGAAGGTGGCGACGCCACGAAGTTGGCGGCCGATGGTCTGGCCGAGGACGGAGAGGTCCTCTTTGACGCCGACGATGGGTCTGTCATCGTTTGAGGAGGGGGGTTTTGATCGTCGAATTTGAAGGGGTTATCATCACTATAAATCATCACATTTCCCCTCTCTCTCTCTCTCCCTCTCTCTCTCTCTCTCTCTCTCTATCATCTCCTCCAACAAAGCCGTCTCTGAGATGATTGTGTGTAAATTATCACATTTCCTAAATTATCACAAAATATATTATTTTCATCACATTTCCTAAATTATATTATCACCACTGAAAATTGATGAACTTACAATTTCACATCACAAAATAATATTACACATCTCCTAAATCATCACATTTCCAGATCTGGATATTGATGATGAAGATAAGGGTATACTTTGGAAATTGATGATGAAGATGAGGGCATTTTAGTCATTTAATTCGGAGGAAAAATTATATTTTCATGTCCATTTGCACATTAGGCGCGTCTTATACACAGGCTGTTATATTGGATGGAAATGCTAACTGTGCACTTTAATCCATTAACCACAAGGGTTATGTGGTGATATCCGAATGTCAGAGGGGGTAATCCGTACCCACCCCAAACCACAGGAGGGTAAAGTGAAATTTGCCCAAAAGAAAATAGAAGAAAAACTACGAAATATTTGTTTCAAAACAAAAGGATCGGATCCTTATCCCGTAATTTAGCAAAATTGAAAAATCCATGTAACATAGATCAAGAATGGAAGCTCGATGACATTGCAAGATTAAAATACAAGACATGTTGGGTTGAAAAAATGCCTCTCTCTTGAAGTGGAGGTGCATCGTGAAGGTGCGTTTGCTGCACACCAATCAATTAGAGACACAAAGTAAGAGAAAAGGGAGGAGTGGTGGTGGGACGAGGGTGGCTTTGCCTTATAGATCTCAGATCTCACTGCCTACAACCCGTCTTACAACTTATCAATTTTGACGAATTGAGTAGGTTGTGATGGCTTGGCAAAGTGCAAATTAAAAAGGAAATATATTGTGATCACAGAGGTGATTATTGGTTATTATGGTGAAGTTGGGCGTGGTTGATAGATAACAATGATGATGGTTCAGGTTGGGTGATCAATGGTGGGCCGGTGGTTGATGGACAATGTGTTGGGTAATCATCGACAATGGAGATGATGGTGGGTGGCCAACAATGGTGAAGGTAGGTGATAGATTGAGAGTTGATGGACAACAATGATGTGTGCTTGGGTTGGATGCTTTGAGACAAGTGTTAGATGATTATGGTGACAATCGTGGGTGGTCATTGATGGATGATGTCGATGTTGCTTTGGGTTGAGCAATTGTTGACATGGTTGGCAATGGTAAAGATGACAAAAGGTGGCGGCCAATTGAAAAGATGGGTGATTGTTCACAGACAACAATGATGTAGATGGGCATTGGGTGGTCAAAGAAGGCAAAAGCAAGGAGAGAGAGTGGAAAATATGAGCAAGAAGAAAGAGAACATCATAGAAGAAAAGAAAGAAAGAGAAAGGAATGCGTATATGTAGCACAAAATTGAGGATGTCTTAATTATTAATCTTTTCTTTAGATAATTATTATTAATAAATAAAGGACTTTTGGGGCACATGCTCAAAGGCTTCAAAGGATTGTACATTTTGCATTAAAGTGAGTATAATAAAGAATGTACACGTGCACATTTTAAGAGTTTACAGCATGATATCATCAGTTTCCATCATCCTCATTAACTATTAACAACTTTTCACTTGAGATCAATGTAATTTCCAAAATCATAGAATAGGAGTGTCTTAGAACCAAACCTCAAGGCAGTCAATGTAATTTATACTTTCTTTGAATTTGGATATTTTGGAAACAATTCTCCAAACATTTCAATGAAGATACCAAGGATGGTAACCAATTGATTTCTCCAATATTTGCATTTTTGTAGTACAAATAGATACATATCAATTCTATACACACATCCATGCATAATATAAATTATTAAATGACCCAAGTGGTATGTAAACTATAAATACTATTGAGTAAACCCATCAACTTGAATATATCTATGGCATGGGTTTGCGGGAAGGAATCTGTAGAGGGGAGATACTTTCTCCTCTCATGTTCAACCTGTGGTAGGGAATGCGGATCGGAGTGAGTTTCTAGGGTCATTGATGGTGTGGTAATTTTAAGTCGAAGGCTTACCTTAATGTTGCCAAAGCTACGATTAACAGGGAGGCAACAATGAGCGGGTATGTAAATTGGTCGTGTTTTTTGGGACATTGCCTTGCGAAGGGAGCTTAATGATTGGGAGTTTGGACAAGTGATGGATCCCCTTCGGCAACTATATACCACTCTCCTTGATGGAGGCGGTTCTATCCAATAGATGAGATCCACTACTAGCCTTAGTATTAAGTCGCTTTATGAAAGTATTGCATGTGAGAGAAGACCCCATTTCCTTGGAACGGGGCTTTGGGTACAAAGGCCCCATCTAAGGTGGCTTTGCATGGTGTGCAATGCATGGCAAAATTCTAACTATTGATAATTTGATTAGAAGGCAAATGCATGTTAATTGATACAGCATGTGTAAACACAATAGAGAGCCAGTGAACCATCTTCCAATCCATTGTGAGATGATGTTAGATCTATGATTTGTGCCTCCCTCAATGTTTGATATGAATTAGGTGTTCCCTCGTAGGGTAGGGGAGCTTCTTTGCTCTTGTATAGGTGCTAAGTAGGAGGAAGAGGAAGGTGTGGTGTTTGGCTCTTTTGGCATTAATGTGGTTAGTGTGGGGCGAAAGGAATAGAAAGGATTTTTATGGAAGGGAAGAGTCAATTTTGAAAATAACAAGCAGATTATTATCTTTTTTGTATAGTTGGTTTTTGGGGATGGTCACTCATTCTTGAACCAATTTTTAGATTTTTTAATCTACCTATAGTATTTTTGCCCCCACTCAATAGTTCCACAAAATAATAATAACAATAATCTCTCACTAGACATGGTTATTAAATTCTTATCTGCTCCAACATCAACTAATAGAGAATCTTAACATTGTCTTTACTTTGAGGTCATCTAACAAATTTAAAAACCACACACAAAAATGTGCATTATTGAGGACTTACTGAATTTGCACTTGGGAATGTTAGAGGAAGCATTCCAACTCCTGAATTTTCCACTATACCATAATGTAGTTAGTTGAAAATCATCTCATTAGACACTGGATTACATACACACTGGCCAAAATAATTCAGTTTGTAGACCTCGTGTTCTAGACATTTTTTAATGTGAAATATTTATTTCAAAATGCATTAGTACTGTTTTACAATGTTATATTGTAAAACTTATAAACAAAATTTAAAGTAGTTCTACGCGTTGCAACAACTCCCGAGTTATGCACTTTGGCATTAATCTTCCCCATTCGACAAAGGCACCATTATAGTTTTTTTTTTTTTTTTGTAACTAGTTTACATATTCTCCATTTTCAATTTCCTTATATTAATTTATCCACTTCAAATGTCATACCCCTCACCAGGAACATACACCAAGAAAAAGCATTCATTCCTTTGACATACTTCCCTCCCAATTTTTTTCTATATCATAACCTATCATAACCTATCATCCCTACATCATCTTTCACTCTTACCAATTTACTTGTTGCACTTAAAAATATCCAATCTTGAAGCCTTCAATTAATCCCAACAACCCCATATCTCACTATATGTTTGTATGAATGTCAATGGAGAGAACCACAAAAGATGTGCATTTAGGTCATCCCGATTGCACAATTTGCACAAAATGGTTTAATTTCACCATCCATGCCATTCAATCACATGTTACTCTAAACATTGTTTTATAAGAAAAGTATATAGAAAGGAAGCCAAAGAAAAAATAGTTAAAGGAACAAAAACAAATTATTATCAAATTAATTGATACTCTGTTTAAGAACATGGTCTGTTCACACGTTAAGGATCCAATCCAACCTTCCCCTTTCCTGTTACATGAAGTGGAACTATGGAGAAGAATTTTCACCTGAACAACATAAACCACGGCATTAATTGTATAGAAACTCGGCCTGAGTCCATCAGTAGATACAGCACGTGCCTGTCAATATTCACATTAGCAATGAAATTAGACCAAATGTTATACGCCAATCAACAACAGATGCAAGTATTAGCATAATCAAGCACAACCTGGTAGTATATCTCTGCCCAGAACAAAACTAAGAGTGCATATGTTGTGAAGAACGCAAGGCTCGGCATATCAAGCAAGATATGTTGGAGAATCTGACAAATAGCATGGTAAACTACAAGTTAAAAAAATAAAAAACTATGACAGAAACAGGAAAAAGAAACATTAACAAATATTGCTCCAAACCTCTGGTTGCAACTTCTGAACGTCCCGACGGAAAATAAAGACTATCGATCGAACTGTCACATTGTAAACAATCCACACTCAATACAAAGGTAGTAAACCAGGAGGAATAAATAAATAACTTCATAGCATGAATTAAAGAAAGGATACAAAATACACACCCCCATTAACCACGAAATTGAGAAAATGGAAGACCTTCTGAGTCGTCCAACCATACTCAGGTACTCTCAATTGTATCCGAACCAATTGTACCTAATCATAATCAATTTCTGGAAAATTAAAAACCTTATTCGTTGCCACAAAATTTCTCAAACATTGATTCCAGTACTTGTATTTATATTTACTTGCTCTAAAAGTACATAAAGATTATTTGACATGTCCATTTTTCACATAGGGGATAGGAAAATTCAGCCTATTAAACATTTTCTTCATTCCTAAAGATCAATATGAACAAAAAATATAAGACTAACTAACTCATTAAAACATAGAAAGACAACCAAAAAAAAGGCGCAAAAATAAACACTTGCAGTTATGGATTCTTCATTTCCTCAGTAACCAAAATTATGCTAATTATTGCCTACCAGACATCTTCCCACTTACAGAGGCTCGGTTAGGTATATCCAACAAAATGAAGAAACATCAACAAAATAACACGATCTCAAAGTCTGAAGTTAACTAAGCTAATTAGGCTTTTTAATTAAAGTATTGAGTTTCCATATTTATCAAAACATAAACCTGGTTTATGTATTTATATGTTTTCTCGTTTCCTCATCAATCAAATTTGAGTAAAATAAAATCCTAAACATTCAATTTGAAACCCTAGAAACCCTAATCGACATGAATCAATTCACGTTAAATTCATCTGAATACCGAAAATAAAGCAATCACAACCAAAGTAAAGAACAACAATACTACAAAATCCTCAAGAAAACTCAGATTATATAGGTGAAATTAGATGGCGAATCAATAAATTCACATTACATCCATCACAACACAGAATCAAGAACAATTTTCTCGAGAAAATTCCGATTAGCGTACCACAGCAACAGCGGCGACGATGCCGTAGAGAACAGCGAGGACGTGAAATATTCGATTCTGCCAAAGGGGGGACTCGTCGATTTGATCCCACCAACTCGAGGAGTCCTTGAGGACGTACGCCGCCACCGCTGACGGCGCCACCACCTCCGTCCGCGCCATCGCCGGAGATCGATCGGATTCTTCCGAGAAAAACCGCGAATTCGAGGAAATCGCTGAGAAAATTCTGAGTTAACTTTTTGCGAAGCCAAGGAAAGGAGAGGAAACGAAAATCGATAATGTTCTATTTCGATTTTGTCTTTTTTGTTTTTTTTAGATTTATATTTAATTTTTTTTAAAAGAGTTTTTCCGAAGATTGGAAGAGCAAAACGGCCAAGCCAGCAAAGAGAGAAACGACAATACTTAATAATAATAAATAATAAGATAAATTACAAATATATGTATGAGTATTTATTAAAATATCAATTATTTTTTTGTAATTTTCAAAATTATATTTCACCAATTGAGATTTTTAATTTTATAATAAATCGTCCATTTTATTAATAAATCATCAAGCTAATTAATAGTTTTTAATAATATTAAAAATATGTTTCAATTAATAATTTAAGTAATTTTATTATTGTATAATAGAGCAATTATAAATTTTATTTTTTTAGTTAATTCTGTTAAATAAAAAATTCTAATAAGAGAGTATTTATAATATTTCAAACCACAATGGATAATTTTTATTTTAAATAAATCTCAGTAACTATATTTGTAACTTACTCTAAATAATAATAAGGTTAATTACACCTGACCTCACAATTATGAGTGAATATCACTTTTAATCCTTCAGCTGTGATTGAGGCCTCGAAAATGAGGCTCGAAATTGCCTCGAATGCATTTTTTTTTTTTTCCTGGGCTAATACATTGCAGAAAAAAATAAATAAAAATAATAATAATAATAATAACAAGCAAAGCATCAACCCAGCAAAAAAATAAAAAAAAAAAATAAAAAAAAAAAAGAAAATTCGAGCCAAATTTGAGCCAAAAAATTTGAGGCCTCAATCATTAATCTTAATCCTTTATCTATTACATATCAAATTTAGGTTGGTTTGAATTGTTCGAATTTATATATATATTGGTTGACACACTGTTTATTTTGAAAGTTGTCCGGCCGATCATCTGGGAGGATATCAGCCATCTAGGCAAATGCTGGTTGACAAGGGTAACAACTACAATTGACAAGGTAACACTGTTCATCCGATCGATCATTTGATTTACGTAATTTGAACAATTCGAAAGAATTTGAGGCAGAATCGGAGAGTGTAAATTCGGTGAATCAATCATTTTTCTATCTATTAGTCTATACATTGACCTCATCTAGTATGAAATAGTGGTGAAAATGATATATTTTTATAGCTGAGGAAGTCAAAATGTATGATTCATAAATGATGGGTAAAGTGATATTCACTAATAATTTAGGAAAACTTTATGTAAACTAATTATAATAATAATATGATAAATTATAAATACATTCCTTGATATTTGCTTAAAATATGTATTATTTCCTGTGATTCTGAAAATTTTATTTCTTATTTTTTAATTTATATTCATATAACAAATGACTCATTTTATTAATAAATTATTAGGTTAATTATCAATTTTAATTATATCAAAAATATATTTTGATTAGCAATCTAAGTAATTTTATTATTATATATGAGAACGGTCATAAATTTCATCTTACTATTAATTATGTTAAATAAAAGATTGACAATAAAATATTTATAATTTTTAAAAGTACAATAAATAATTAATACTTTAAGTAAACTTTAGGTGCATATGTAATTTAGTCAAAATTACAATAAATAATTAACACTTTAAGTAAACTTGAGGTGCATATGTAATTTAGTCATAATATTAAGGGCAGATTAAAACTATACTCCTGAGATTTGAGAAATTCTATTTTTACACACCCAATTAGTTCAAAATACACACTTAATAAAATATTAATTTAATGACAATTATATCTTAAACAAAAATGACTATAATAGACATCTAGCAACACCTATAATATTATATAAAAAAAAATTCTATACACATCTTTTAAGAACAAAAAAAAAATCTTAATATACACATTTTAAGTTAAAAAAATTAAATCCTAGTTTTTGGTCTTTCCATTCTCCTTCTTCTCTTGTTTCCTCTATACCAGTGCCTTCATCTCCTTCCTTACTTTATTCTCCTCCAAAGGTTGTTCCTCTATCTTCTAGGGGTGTTCGCGGATTGGATTTGTGCGGTTTACGATTTGGTTTTGACTTGCCCGCATTTATGCGGTTTGGAAAAAATTCAAACCGCAACCGCCCGCAGTGCGGTTTATGATTTGTGCGAATAGGGTTTGCGGATGTGCAGGCGGTTTGCGATTTTGGATTTTTTTCCTTAAAAATTAACATAAATATTGTTTAATTTTAACTTCACACACACTGAGACTGCCTGTAGATTGAATGGAATTGTCACTTATGTCATCCGTCAGTTTAACATCCATGATTTGCACAGTTTATATTTTGTAATATGAGAGCATTGTGTTGATCAAACATAAAAATCAGTTCAAAAAAAATGTACTCTTTTTTTTTTTGGATAAATGAGTTAAAAAAAAAGTATTTTGAATCATATAAATCATTAACCAAAGTGCAACTTAGGTAAGACTAGAAGTCAATTAAGTAAAACAAATACAGAACATATAATGGAAGTTGTAAATTCTTCCAAGTAAATGAACGGCCAGGTTTTTCCATATATATATATGTATATATAGTGAGGCGCGGTTGTGGTGGGTTGCGGGTCCCACAACCCGTTCGCAAACCGCAAAATTAAATTATTTCAAACCGCACCCTACCCTATTGTATTTGCGAAACCGCCCATATGTGTGCGGGTCGAATAATCCTATGCCCAACCCTACCTTCTAATTTTATCCCTATCTCTTCCATTAATATCGATCTTCCTTTTCAACATACTCCTACAGCACAGCATATTCCTGGCACACGGAATTTCCCTGTTGTACAGTATATTCCTACGTCACAGACTGTTCCTGCAGCGCTATTTTCAAAAGATAACTATCGAATCTTTTATTTATTTTCGGCACTATTTAGTTGAAACAATCAAATCTATTCGGTTGTTGAGTTTCAAATTATGTGTTCAAATTCGGCAAACCAGTGCCAATGTCCCCAAATCATAAACAATAAGGAAAAAATCGAGGATTTTTTGGCAATGAAATGTACAAATATCTGAAAATGGTAAAATGCAATAACAAAATGGGAAAATTCCTTACCTTCAATGCTATTTTTGAGATTTGCAATAAAGGTTCAATGGAGGTCTTCCATGAATGTCTTCAATGGAGGAAAAGTGTCTTTACTTTTTCACTTCAAACTCTGGTCTTCAAAGTCTTCACGTGGGTGGCTAAAAAATGTGAAAGTTGGGTAAATTAAAAGTGCGTGGAAAGAAATGGTAAGTGATGTGTGCACAATAATATTTGAGTGAAGGATATGATTGTAACTTATAGTGTATGAATTGAGAAAATTAATCAATAAATAAATTAATAGGTGTGTGTATTGAGAAAATATATGCACTGAGCTAATTAGGTGTGTGAAAATAAAATTTTCCAAAGATTTGCCTAAAATACGGCTTAACTGTTGTGATTCTAGAAATTACATGACGCTCCTTAAAATTTATAATTTCATAATAAATAATAAATTTTATTAATAAATTATCAAATCAATTAATAATTTTTAATGATGTCATAAATTTATTTTAATTAATAATTCATGTAAGCAGTTACTAAATTTATTTATATTTTAACTAATTATGTTAAATATATTAAAAAAAATTGTCAATAAAATATTTGTAATTTTTATTTTAAATTATAAAAAATAATTTATATTTTAAATAAATATGAAAATAAGTATTTGCATGTGGTGGCAAACTGGCAATAACAGGTGGATTTTATAGTAGAATGTTGAGATCCACGCACTCTTTGGGGAGGTTAGCTTTGTCTTATCCGCCCTGCGAACCGATTCCAAACGTCTACAAGTGGAGAGCATCACCTTAGTTGGCATGTATTGATAGTTGGCATGTATTGATCCTTTTGGTGTCTTATGATCCGATAGTGTTGGTGTAAAAATTTCTCAAAGGATATAATTTTTTAACATTGTTAAATTTTTTTATAGTAATATAAAATTTGTTTTTAGTATATAAGCATGTTTTGAAAATATAAATAGGGAAAAATATTTAGTGAGTTGTCCGATGTTGTAATCAATACTGAAGAGTGAACAAATATGGTGACTAAAGAGTTGTTTGAAATTATTTAAATGTATATTTTTTAACTTTTTATGAAAATATGTACGAAAAAATAAATAAATAATGTGATTCGAATAAATGCATTTATCTAAATAAATGCACTAGTTTATGTCGAATAGTGCCTAACTGTGGAGTAATCAAAGGTGATTGTAAGAGTTAGTTATCAGAGGATGTCATACATCACAAAGTAGCCGATGGACTGATGAAGAAAAGTTGTCAACTATTAACAGTTATCAACTAGTTACCAAAACAACTATGATAGAAAGTTCTAACAGTAAAGTTCTATTGAGATAAATAAATAAATAAATAAATTATTAAAACATAGGCCAAAACATCATATCATACAATGGGGCCTACATTTTAGAGCTCCTTCACAGTTATTTCTCTAACAACAATGATAGAGACCACTAATTTTGAAGCTCTAAAAACACCACTAAGGACATGGCACTCAATAAAAAAAGAAAAAAAATATCACACCAAGGCCAAAACATCAAATCATTCATGGTGGACCCACTATCACATCATTAGTGGTAGCACTAATTAGTACTCTCACTCATTTTCCTTCCTCTAAAACTCCCAAATATTATTCTTACCAAAATATAGTTAGATATTTTATACTGTTGACCTCTAATTTATACAACAATTTGTCGTCTCTAAATTTTGAATATAAAATTTGTACAAATCCGTTATTAAGGTTATGTCACTACATGTGATGTTTGAATTTTTATGATTGTATCGGTTGGTGGTTGTCTAAAATTGTTAGATAATTCAATTGATTATTATGCCCTTTTGTATTTAACTTGATGCTAACTTTGTGAGCTATATATATTTGTACGATGTGATTTATGGTATTGTGGCCATCATAATTGTATTCATATAATTGGATCTAATTGTATAGAATAATCAAAGTATAAGGCCAAGTTTGGCAATTCAAAAATAATTCATCTTTTTATTTTTTTTCCATCACATCACCTCTCTACTTTTTT